GAGTTGTTATTAAGGCTTTGAGGTTGTCATAATCAAGAGACTAGAATTATTAAAAAATCTGAGTCTTGGAAATGAATGATCAGATTTAGTGTGTAGCTGATGTTGATTACAGAAAGTAAACAGCTAGATTTGAGGAATTGTGTGGTCAGGTTATTAGAGAGATACTGGAAGCTTTTAGAGAATTGAGAACATTTAAGATGCCTGAGGATGGTGGGGTAGGGTGGAAGTGGGATTGAACTGAGGTATACAGCACTGCCTGAGTGCCCACAACATCCTGATTGCTGCTTGAACCAGATTAAAATGTAATTGGGAAATATTTTACAAAATAAGTAAACATATAATAAAATATAGACAGTAGTAATATGTGGTTAATATGTAGCTTTCAGAGATCCTTATGTGCATGTAATGAGGAGTAGTACCTTTTCTATTTGAGTTTGACACCACTGGGATAGAAAGACCATGAGTCAGTTATTTAAGTCACTGGGAAAGTTACATATTTGTTGGTGGATGACAACCTTTCCCAAAAGAGGGAAGGTTACTGGGGTTTGTTGGTGTAGGAATGAATGATTTAAAAGGGGTATCCTTTCTTCTGACCCTGTGAGTTGGGAAGTGGGCAAAAGAATGGTTTCAAATGGAAAGGGATGTAAGGAAGAATATGTTGTCCTCAGGGAAGAGACAAGTTTCTGTTAAAATCAGGATGTGGAAGGATAGTTGGTTGAGAAGTTTGAGTAGATGTGATTTAGAACTAGAAAGAACCTTAGAAATCATCTAATTTATCTCCTCTTGCTACACATGAGGAAATTAAGACCCAAGAGAAAAGCCATTTGCCCAGATTCCCTCAGATAGTAAGGAGCAGAGCCAGGATTCTAATTCAGGTTTTCTGACTCCAAATCTGTTGTTGCCCCACAGCTTCTTCTCTGAAGGATGGTTAGAGACGTGCAAGGCTCAATGGAATTAGTTATCAGAGGGTAGAGCAGAGCAGTGTTTCACTGATCACATGTACTGACTTACTAGATATTTTGTGGATAGATTCTTTTTACTCGGGTGCTCGCTCATTATCTTACTTTAAGCAAGCCGTTCACCTCTCCAAGACTCAGTTTCCTCAATTGTAAAGGAAGGGGTTGGGCTAAGTGATTTCTCTTTGTCCTCTAGCTTTAGCATTCTTATTCCATACTTGTTTATCTTGTTGTCTTGTTTATTCCCAGCTGACATCAAAAGTTTTGGTAGTTTTGTTGCAAGGTGTAGAAGAAAAACTCTGTAACCATCCAAACCTATTATGTCTAACAATAAATAATAAATATTTGTTAATTGCTTGAAATCCTCCTTTATGCTTGCATCAGCTAAAACTAGATTAGAAATAACTGGTTTGATTTGAAGTTTGTTCTTAAGAAATCACTTCATGCAGTTGATACAAATTGAGGAAAATTTTGGTGCATCTTAAAAGGCACGTCCTTTCACATCCTTTCTGGTCTCTGGCTAAGGAAGGTGATGGAGGATTGATATAAGATTTACAGGGGGAAAAAGCCAAATATATAAAATACTTTACTTTTCTTGTTTGGGTGCTTTGAGTCTATAGCTTTCGAGGAGAAATATACCTAAATATGCCTCACCTACACTATCCGAATGCATGTTGGCCTGAGGATGTGCCACCCACTGCTGTCTCACTCACATCTCACTTCAGTTCTTCTGTCTAGCAGGGCTGGACCAGGGTGTAACTGGAAGAGAGGGAGGGCCAAATTGCTGCAGGAAGTTTTGGTGCTTTTGCTCTAACCAGAACCTCAACTTAGGAGAAGGGTAGCTGCACTGTTTGAGTAGTTGATTCTCCTCACAGTCACTTGTTACCTCTGAATTTTGGTTCTCTTTTACAAATGTGTATTTGTCTTAATAATTTTGTGTCATCATTTTCTTTTGGAATGTTAGCCCCCTTAAGACAGAGCCTGGGTCTTTGTGCTTGCATTTTAACGTACTTAGCCTACCATGTCATCGGTGGATGTTTAACAAATACCATTTGAAGGTAAGAATAATTAAAATCTTGAAGGGAGCCTTTGCAAAGGCAAAGATGATATAAAACCTAGTTACCTGATCTACATCTTCATCTACCTTTTCACAGTTAAACAACCATTTGAACTGAGTAAGATATTTCTTATTTCTTTCTGAAAGTGTATCATGCCCAATTTCCTAACCAGACAATTTAACTTAATGATACCTAGTGTGCATGCTTCTTTAAGTATTTTGTAATAAAATATAAAAAATGTTATAACACTGAAGAACATTTTTTACTTTTAAGAAGACCTGGAAAAAGAAACTGCCACAGATATTGGGTTTTATTTTTCTTAGTTATGCCAGTCTTTCTGCTGTTGTGTTTGAAGATTGTTTGGGAGGGGCCTCTTTGCTTTGGGTGCCATCTGCTGGATTCTTCTGCAATTTAGGACAGACATATTAGCATGGATGGGGAAGGGTTTAAGCAGTTGTTTTCAGTGAAAAGATGTTTTTCTCTTTCTCTTGTACCACTCCTTTTTCTGCCATCTCCCCAATCTATTTGGTTTGTAGCTTTCTTTTCAAAACACTGTTCAGTCAGGCAAGAAAGGTTGACTTGGGTGTTGTTAATGTTAATTTTAATGAGTTTGAATGAGTTGCAGTTGAGCAATACCAGCCTCTAAAATTGTCATATGCAATGAATGGGGCCAAGTCTTGGTGGTTCAGGGAGTCAGAGTACATTGTTTGAATCATTGTTGTCCCTTTAACAGTTTACATTTCTGCTCCACTATCTCTCTTGAATGGTTTCACTTCTATATTAGTAGAATGTACATGATTATATGCTATGAAGAGATACTGCTTGTAACAGATCTGGTATACTCATTTCATCTTCATTGGTCTTTTTAGAGAATATAAACTAGATCAAGGTTAGAGTTGTATCCATTTTAGAGGGTTCAGATGAATCAGGAAAATTAATACAATGAAAGAAGATCTGTACTATAATGTGAAATTTATTGGGGAATTAGAATGTGAATATTTGAGCAAGAAAAGGTTTATTAGTACCAAATAAGTAGAAATAATGGAAAAATTGCTTAAGTATAAGGGCATGAGTACAATGTAAAAATAGTTCAAAATTTTAGGGTAGAGAAGTATTTCAATGTACCATCCTAATGAATTGTTTTGGTAATAATAACTGATCTTTATATTGTGCTTTAAGATTTGCAAAGCACTTAACATACATTTTGATTCTCACAATAACCTTGTGAGGTAAGTACTACTCCAGGTCCTCATTTTACAGATGAGGAAACAGTCGCAGAGAGATTGAATAACTTCTTTATGATCACAAAATGAGAAATTATAGGAGGTGGGATTTGAACTAGGGTCCCAAGTGCAAAATTATTTCTAATACACTGTATCTAATTTAAAAGTAAGATTCACTAAACAAAAAAAGAATAACTAACCTTTGCGGTGAGATACTTGTCTATATTGTGCTGGGAAACTGGTCTCTATGTATATACATACATACATACATATATATATGTATATGTAGGTGTGGGTATATTTTAAAGCCAGTTTTGGGAATAAATTATGCAATAGTTTAGTTAGTATTTAGCAAGGTTAGTGTGACAGTAAAATTGCTCTACCAGTTGTGCAAGCTATTACAATGCCTTTTGTAGAGACAGAAAAATAACTTGGAAAAGGGATGAGAAGTTTGGTTATACTTTTTGTGGAGTAGTTACAAGTTACTTTTTGAAAGGAAATGAAAGGAGGAAACTAATATTTTCTTAGCCAAAAAATGGACTAAGCAACATTCATCCTCCCTATGATTTGATTATTGTATCCTAGTTCCAGAGGATAATAATCTATTAATTCAGTTGCGAGGTCTTTAAAGAAGCTCATTCTTGTAAATGAAAAAATAGGGTAATTAAATACTACAAATCAAAGTTGAAAAGCATCATGTTGTTTTAGATTTAGTGTACTGACACTTGAAGTTTGTAAATCCATTAGGGTAAAGAATACATCTCTAGTTAGAGCTATGCTTGGGAATCATGTTCTTGGAATGTCATTCCCTGATTTGCCATTGATTGACTAAGTAACTTTGACTAAGTCCTTAACCTTTCCATGGTTCAGTTTTGTCTATCCATCTGTAAGAATGGGGAACAGTCTTTTTGTGAAGTGTTTTGAGAATTTTTTATTTAACCAGTAAGTAGAGAGCTTAATCTGGTTGGAACATTAATCTGAGTTGTATTTATTGTCCTGCTACAGACTTGTTTGGTGGTCTTGGACAAGTTATTATAATATGTACCTTGTTTTCTGTCAGGATATTAGGAGACACCCTGTTTTCCAGAGCTAAGGCCCAGCAAGCAAGTTGTACCCTGACCCTTTGTGCTCACCCTCTGGATGATCGCACTCTCTGGCAAAACCACATAATTATTTATATAATTATTGCTTCGACTAGAACCAGGTGTTCTCTAAGGTCAGACAAGCACCTGAGGGACAAGTACCCATGTTCCGATCGTGAACCCCTGCTGTGAATCAACCTTGTCTCATTGTTACTGTTACCCCTCATTGTCAGGGCTACAGCTCACTGTGTAGCCATTGGTATAAGTATTGAGATCTCCCCACACTGCCCGGGGTCCCCTCTTTAGGGGCGGAGCCCTGGCATGTGTGGCTTGCGAGCCATTTCTCTCACTTTGAAATTAAACTTCTGTTTGATTCCTGACTCTCCTGTCTTTAGACTGCTCTGTTCAGCTCTGGCCATCCACAGGTTAGAGGCTGGTTCAGTCTGGTTGACATTTCTCATCTGAAAAGCAGGGTTAATAACACTAGATAGTTTTCTAACTGGTAGCATATGAAAGAGATGATAATATTTTATAGATTCTTTTAAAGATGCTACATGATTATATATTATAATATTTAGACACTGAGAGCTTAGTCTTCATTCCTCTGCTGATTTTGGTGTTGTATTGTTACACTTCTTAGATGACGCCTCTGATATCTGTTTTTTTCCTCTTTCTCTTTAGTGGTATGTGTGCAACAGAGAGCAATTATGTGAATCCCTTCAGCCTGTCTTTGTCCAGAGTTACCTTGATCAAGGAACACAGATCTTCTTAAACAACAGCATTGAGAAATCGGGCTGGCTGTTCATCCAACTGTATCACTCTTTTGTGTCTTCTGTTTTTAGCCTATTTATGTCTAGAACATCAATCAATGGGTAAGTGAAATGATGGTATTGTTTCCTTAAGGCAAAAAAAAAAATAGTTCCTTTAAGAAAAAAAAATTCCCTCTTCTGATTGTTAATGGAACAGTTATAATGCATTAATTAACTATCAGAATCTAGTCATTATGCCCATCCATTGGCAAATAGATAAAAATGCCCCCATCCTTCTTTTATATTTGTAGTTTATATCTTTGCCAGAATTGATGTCTGGCATCATCACCTATTCTAGTAGCAGTAATCACCAGGGTACTTAGGCTTTTCAATGCAGGCATTTACCACTGACAGACTGAAGTAGAATAGAAAAAAGATCATTTTTACTTTGACTTTTAAACTACATTGAGACCAAGTCTTCTGGAATCTGAATGATCAGTTAAGACTAGGGTTATGGCCAATTTAAAGAGAGAGGTTCTGTATCTCTTTCTGAAATCCTTGCCTGAGTTCAGCCAGAGTTCTGTAGACTCTTATTCTATAGCCTATCAATTTTGTTAATCTTGAAAAAGCCTCAGTAGTTTTTTCTTGTCCTTTCTTGACTCAATTTTCAAACATAGTTGTAACTCTCAAAATTGGAAAACCAAGGAGAGAAAACCATGTGGATCATTTCAGCCCTCTGGCAGTGCTCTTATACTTCTTTGCCACTAGAATCTTAGAAACAAGCTCTCATGGGTTATGTCTGCTTTCCCAGCCAATCATCTCATCCTTGAATATGTCCCCAGGCTCCATAACTCATTCCCTAGGATCCTTTACTTGATTTTATTCATTGTTTCCAATGAATTGCCTGAGGTTTGTATGACCTCAATAGTCGGGTTGTAAAAGTTTTTCTTTTAAACTTGCCTATTCTTAGTGTGTGCTATGTAAGATTTCTATACCATGCAGGCTTTTCTTTCCTTTGAAAGCAGAACTTCATAAGCTCTGGCAATTTAGTCAAAATCCCTACGGCACAGGAGGGAAAACCCCTCAGTTTTAAGAGGAAATAGAGTGTTGAGAAACCCCTTAGATTTCCCTGACCCCTCAGATCCTTGGTATAATCCTTTTTAAAATCACTTGCTTTCGTTACTGCTTCCTCTATTGAAGACTCAATTCAGACCTTCCTGTACTATTGTTTCTAGAGAAAATCTTACTTAAGTACCACTAAGCACTCCCTCTAGGATTTACGCAGGAAATAAAGAATATCTTTACATAAGAGTTTCTATGGCACCTTCTTCAAGAAGTCAAAGGACATTGCTAATGCCAGAAAAAAGAACACTTGAAAAAAGGAATAATTTAGCCTGAGCATGTTAAGAGATATTACAGGAAGAAGTAGAACAATTATTCACCTGTAGAAGATACCAAGAAATCAAGTTGTTTTTCAGTTTGGTTTTTTAAATCTTAAATTGTGGCAAGACTTTGTCAAGAGAATTTGTCATTTCAAAGGGTGATTAGATACTAGAATAAGAATCAGCTGTATACTGTTGAGTCATCAACTAGTTGGAAGTAGAAGTTGAATCTTTGAAGTTGAAGTCAAAGATCCATCCTTTTCTACAACCCATCCATTATATTCACTGTCAGAAAGAGGATATTGAATGAGTCATAGGCTAGCATGGCAGTGATGTTTCTGAGAACCAAAAATGCCAGAAGTACATAAGGAATCTTCATTCATTCCTGTGAGCTTTGAAAATAGATCTGCAAGCATTGTTCTTGAATGGTTTAAATATAGATCCATGACATGGCTTCATAAAAATCCATTCTCGTTTTGATTCTATGATTAGCTAATTAATTTATGCACTATCCTTTAGTGTAGCTAAGCATGGTATTAAGCCTCCATGGTTAGAAAATCTTTGCCTAAGTTGTATTCTGGCTCATTGAGCTATGGCAGTGACCTTGAGTTCTGTAAGATGAAAGAAGAGACCTTGTGCTTTTACTGGTATAGACAGTGAGGTACAAACTCTGACAAGGACTCAACTAAGTGAGGAATGCTGTACAGTATGGGCCCAGCAACAGACTGCCATCAGACAACTAGCCTTTATAAATACTAAGAAGTTCGTCACCAGAAGGTTGGCTACTAGATGATGTTTGGGGTTTTTTTGGCCATGATGACGAATGGAGCAGATGAAATACAAATCTCAGTCTTGTCCAAATTCTCCTTTACTTTCAAAATTAAAGTAGAAGAGTGATGGAATACAGGGCAGAGGGTGCTAAGAATCACAACAGAATTTAGATTTTTTACAAAGAGTTTCACTCTTGTCACTTATTCTGTGATCCACGTTTCATAATCACTTAGTCACTAGAGCAACTGAACCAAATCCATCTTGACATTTTCTTTATAAATGAAATTAGAGGACATCAAGAAGTTGCAGTTAAAACAGGACAGTTCATAGGTTCTCATTGGAGAAGAGGATAAAGGAGCTGGAGTTGGTTACGTCATGCATCCAGGGACAAGAAATATAATTTCATGAGACACTTGGTTGTCTTACAGTGTTCACAGTAGACATAAGCAAACAGACCACCATGAAGGTAATCATAGCTTTTGTGCCAATAGTTGTTGCTGAGCTTGATGACATAGACATTCTGTAAAGAACTTGATAAGCAACTCCAAATTTAATCAGCATGTATACCTTGTGATCTTTGATGACTTCATCATGAAAGTGGGCACAGCAGAGGATGGCAAAGATTATACTGGAAAATATGACCTCGCTCATGGAATGAAACATACCAAAGATTTGTAGAATACTTAAAAGCTTTAAGCCTGTATATCATGAGTACTTTTTTTCAGGGAGAAATCAGAAGACATTGGATGTAGGGAGAACTGAAAAAACATCATAGAAGATGAAGTTGAATATATACCAACAGATAGGATATGGTTGGTTGCCATCTTGGGAATCAGCTGTCTATGTATTATCAGAGTATTAACTAAGTTAGAACAAAGCTCAAAATCATTAACAAATTTTAAAAAAGGATAGACATGGGAAGAAACTGCAATCAGTTATAGCCATTGGCTTGAAAAATTGGAGATCGATGAAAGACATATTGAATTTGACTACCACCATTTCTTAGAAAAAAATCTAATTCAAAATATTTACCACAGTAAGCTGAAAAGTCCAGAAATTGGACTTCAGCTAGGAAGCACTTGATTTTCTCGCCAAGCCAGTTTAGAGTAAAAGCTAATTTGCATAACACTCACAGGATGATGAAAGAAGATTACAAGCAGTATTGCCTCACTTAAGCATAAAGAGAAGTTATGAGGAAAATGAGCCTGGAGAGAGTTTGATATGAGGCTAAGCTAAGCTAGATCATCATGAGGAGGATGATAAATAGCTATAAAATAGAACTGACTACCCAGTGTTTCTTTATCAATTAAATCAATAAACATTGGTTAAGACACTGTGCTAAGCACTGGGAATCCAAAAAGAGACAAAAGACATTCCCTACACTCAAGGAGCTTACAGTCTAACAGGGGAGATGACAACATGCAAACAAATATAATACAGCACAAACTGGATAACACAGGATGAATAGGAAATAATTAACAGAGAAGGCATTACAATTAAGAAGAATTGGGGAGGGCTTTCTGTAGAAGGTGGGATTTTAGTTGGCACTTTAAGGAAGCCTGGGAGGTCAGTAGTTGGAGCATAGGAGGGGGAGTGTTGTAGGCATAGGGGCAGCCAGAGAAAATGTCCAGAATGGGGAGATGAGAGTCTTGTTTGTGGAACAACCAAGAAGCCAGTTTCAGAATGCTTATTTTGAATATTAAGATATAAAAAGACCAGAAACTACCTTTGATTGCCAAGCAGATCATTTTATATTGATTGGATTTGTAACTGATCGGCTATGTGGAAGGAGGGAGGAAGAGTGAGGAATCCAGGATAATGCTGAGATTACAAAACTAAGATTTGAAGGAAGGATGATTTCTTTGACAGAAATAGGGAAGTTTGGAAGAAGGGAGAGTTTTGGAAAAAAAAATAACAAGTTCAGTTTTAGACACATTTAGTTTAAGATGTTTCTGGCACATCCAGTTTGAAATGTGCAATATGTAGCTGGTGATCCTAGTCTGAAACCTTGAGAGAGAGACTTGGGCCCAATGTCTAGATCTGAGAATCATCTGTGTAGAGATAATAGTTAAACTCATGAGAGTTGATGAGGTTACCAAGAGAAAGAATAAAGCAAGAAAACAAGGGGGCTCAGGACAGAACCTTGGATAATTACTCACATTTAAAGGGAGTCATGTGGATAAGAAACCAGCAAAGGAGACTTGAAGGAGCAGTTGGATAAATAGACACTGAACTAGGAAAAGGTATAGCCTGAAAACTGAGAAAGAAAAGTGTGCACGGGAAGAGTTGTTGGTCACATCCAAAGGCTAGCTCAAGAAGAATTAGGACTTTTAAAAAGCCCATTAGATTTAGATTAAGAGGTTAAAGCTGTAAAAGTATTTCTTAGATAAAATATCTTATTTATTTTAAAATCATATCCAGCTCTATCTAGTTTCTCTCGTGAGCTGTAGTCCATATTATCTTGCATTACCTAGATGTCTCATAGGTAATCTCAAATGAAATACCTGGCGTTGAGGAGAGGTAGTATAGTAGAATAGTGGAACCAACCCTGATTCTGTAGTCAGAAACCTGAGTTCAAATCCTGCCTTTAATATTTATCACCTATTTGACCTTAAGCAAGTCATTTAACCTTCCTGGACCACAGCTTCCTCATCTGTAAAATGAAGTAGATGATCTCTGAGATCCCATGAGGTTCTAAGAGCTCTGATACTATTTTCCAAAGAGAATTTATTATCTTTCCACCTAAATCTACCCTTCTTCTTGATTTCCTTATTTTTCTCAAGGTCATCAGATTTTTTTCCAGTCATCCACATTCTCACTTAAGAAGTTATCCTTTACCCTCAGTTTTGTCTACTTATATATCATCTCTCACACATGCCAGCCTCTCTCCTTTCACAGTGCTGCTTCCTTGGTCCTGGTCCAGGCCTTTCCTTTTCCAGGCCAGCGTTCACACAACTGCCAAATTGATGTTTCACAATTTGAGCCATGTCACTTGCTTTGCTCAGAAAGCTTCAATAACTGTTCCTGTGAGGATAAAATACCATGTGCAGTGTGGTACAGTGGAAGGAACACTTAATTTGGAATCAGAGGTTCTGATTTCAAATGCTGCTGCTGTCGTTTATTGCATGTATGACCTTGGCCAAGCCTCTCTGGACCTAAATATCTGTAAAGTGAGAAGTTTGCACAGGATATGGCCAGTGTCCCTTCCAGCACAAAATTCATGATCCTATGATCTTCTTGTTGGCATTTGAGGCCTTTAGAAATCTGTTTCCATGCTGCCTTTCCGTACTTATTTCACATTTATTCTAATGTGCTCTGTTTCATCCAAACTGGCCACTTGTTCTGTCTCCCATCTCCATGCCTCAGTCCAGACTGTCCCTTAATGGGATTGCTTTGCCTCTTTGAATCTTATTTTCATTTCAAGGCTCATCACTCTACAAAAGTTCTTTCCTGATTCCTTCATTTGTTGACACCCTCACCTGATCTACCCACGGAAATATATTTGTATATATTTTATATTTCCTTAATTGTGTACATTATTCCCCCCCACCCCCAACTCCCAGTAGAACTAACTTCCTGGAGGTCAGGGACTGCTGTTAATTTTAGTGTTTGTATATCCAGCACCTAGAACAGTGCCTAGTATGTAATTGATACTTAATAAATATTTGTTAGTTGTTTTTTCCTTTGATTCTCTTTAGCTTTTTATCTTAACTATATTCTGTTTATGCTATCCATTCTATCATTGATTTGAATTTTTATACATTTTAGACTCATTTTCTCTTACTCCTTCCACCTTTCCTTCTTTGTCTTTGAGATTCTGTTGCATGCACCTTAATCTATCTCTCATGTTTTCTATTTTATTCACTTTGGAATTTATTATTCTTTGTTAACATTTTCTTAAATTATAAATAAGTCCAAAAGGCTTCTAGAGATGGGTTAGTGGGTCCTATATTTGTTGTTTTTAAAATTTAATTTTCACAGAATCTTCCATTTTTATCTTTGTATTTCAGGTTGCTAGGAAGAGGCTCAATGTTTGTGTTTTCACCAGATCAGTTTCAAAGACTGCTTAAAATAAATCCAGACTGGAAAACACATAGACTCCTTGATCTAGGTGCTGGAGATGGAGAAGTCACTAAAATCATGAGCCCTCATTTTGAAGAAATCTATGCCACTGAGTTATCTGAAACTATGATATGGCAGCTTCAGAAAAAGAAATACAGGTATATATTTAAGAAGTGGTCTTGGGTATATGATGTGTTGGGTTTTTTTTAAGTACAAGAACTAGGAGTAATATTTTATGATCATTACTTTTTATCCGTCCTTATAAGTTATGTCGAAATGTAAATGTGGAATTTTTCTTAGTGTTTTTGCTTTCTCTTTTTAAATTAAGGAGGCAGAGTCATACAGTGGAAACAGCCTTGGTTCTGGCATCAGAGGACCTAGATCCAAATATCACCTCATGCTCACTGTGGGAATGACCTTAGGCAAGGGACTTAATTTCTTAGGCCTGAGATTCCCCATCTGTAAAATTGGGGAGTTTGACTAAGTTATTTCCAGTTCTGAATCTGTGATCCTGTGAAGCTTAATGTAGCTTTATAGTTAAGTACATCTACAATGTTAACATTAAAATGAAACATATAAAAACTTTAGATCACTAACTTTGAACACACAGATGCAAAAAAAAGAACAATCTGAAGGTGGAAGACTTCTCTTCTGTCCTTGACAGCATGTCTTAGAAAATCTTTTATTCTGAAAATCTAGTGTAGTCTACAGTGTTGCCTGACAAACAGGATTAGTGAAGAGACACCTATGAGGAATTCCTGCAAGTTTCAACTAAAAGTAAGTCATAAGGAGCAGAGTCAAGATGGCAGTGTGAGAAGAAGCAGTTAAACCTAGCTTGCCACGGTTTCTTCTCCACAGTGATCTAGAATATGTACCTGTCTGAATTTTTATTGGGAAATCTAAGAAAAAGTACAATGAATAATTTTCCAACCCAGGGCAGCTTATGGAGACAAGACAAAGAGGTTTGTAAGACATTGGGGATAGCATCTAGCCAGAAGCACATGCAGTGGTGGCAGCTTCAAGGAGCATTCCAGAGCCCAGGGACAGAAAGAGGGCTTAGGCAGGGTACCTTAGGGCTGAGGGCAGAAAGAGATCCCAAGGAAACGTTGAACTGACACTGGATGCAGGAATGGGTGCTAACTGGCAGGTCTGTTGCTCACCACCAGGTCGTGGATCCAGGGCAGAGCAGAGCTGTGGTAAGCAAGGGCTCTACTTGTGTATTGAGCATGGAACAAATTCTAGAAGCAAATAGTAGGAGAGTGATACCTAGTTCTAGCTTTAGCCCAGCATCTAAACCTGCAGTGGAATAACTAGGGCAAGAGTCCCAGACCAAAAGGGAGAAAGCAGTTCAGTCACTCCAAACCTATAGAGCTTTCTAGTGGTATAATAGTGAATAAATCCACTAGCAAATCTGCTGAAACTCAACTTTGCAAAAGCCAATAGACCCAAACCTTGATCAGGAACTTCCAGAGCTCATATCAGGACTGAAATGATCTTTGCCCTAGATCCCACCACATTGGAGACAGTGAAAACTACAGGCACCTAGACTGAGCCATGAAAGCCACAGAAGGATGTAAAAGGACAGAACCTTAGGCCTCCCCACTCCATGAAGTGTGTAGAGCCCAACACCAAAATAAAGTACAAGTCAAGAAGTAGGCTGGAAGAATGAATGAACAAACAAACAAAAAAAAGAGTTACTGTGATGACAGGGAAACTCAAGACACAAGCACAGAAGAAAATAGTGAGTTGTAAACATCCACAAACAAAGCCTCAAAGAAGAATACAGTTTCAATGAAAGTCCAATAAGAATTCATAGAAGAGTTAAAGTAAGAGTTTTTAAAAATAGCTAAAAAGAGATTTTAAAAACCAAACAAGAGCTATGGAATAGAGATATGCAAAGAGAATTGACAGCTTGGTAAAAGAAGTACAAAACCTTACTGCAGAAAATAACTCCTTAAAAATTAGAACTGACCAAATGGAAATTAATGATTCCAAGAGACATTAAGAAATAATAAAAATGAAGCCAAAAGCCTGAGGAGAAAATAGGAGAAAATGTGTAATAATCTCATAGGAAAAAAATTTTGAAAACAGATCAAAGAGAGATAATTTAAGGACCACTAGAATGCCCCCCAAAAAAACCATGAACAAAGATAGACTCTAAACATCATATTTCAAGAAATTCTAAAAGAAAATTATCTGGCTATCTTAGAACCAGAAAGCAAAGTAGAAATTGAAAAGATTAACCTGTCACTTCCTGAAAGAAACCCTCCTCTGAAAACTCTCAGGAATATTATAGCCAAAATTCAGACCTCCCAGGTTAAGGAGAAAGTACTGCATGTGGCTAGAAAGAAAGAAAGAATTCAAGTTTCAAGGAACCACAATCAGAATCACACAAGATTTATCAGTCACTACCATAAAGGAGCAGAGATGTGTGGAATATGGTATTTCAGAAAGCAAAGGATCTAGGCTTATGACCAAGAGTAACCTACCTGGCAAAATTGAGTATAATTCTACTGAAGGTGGGGGCAGGGGGAATGGATCTTTAATGAAATAAGACTTTTAAAGATTCCTAATGAAAGGACTAGAATTGACAAGAAGATTTGTTATACAGACACAGGAGTCGAGAAGCAAAAAGTTAATGGTGAGAAATCCTAAGGAACTAGACAGATTTGAACTGTTTATATTTTTAGATGGGGAGATGATATGTGCAACCCCTCAGAAATTTATCATCAGTAGGGGTCTTAGAGCCTAATTAGACAGTCTGGGTATGAGTCTGTTATGTTTGAATGATCTCAAAAGAAGAATGGAAGTGTGAGGTAAAGGAATGAATTAGGAGAGGAAGAATGGGGAGGAATTAAACAGGGTGCACAAGGAGGAGTTTATATAGAGGGGAGAAGAGTGGATGAGCTGGCAACTCTTGAAACTCACTCTCATTGAATTGGCTAAAGGAGGGAATACACATTCACAAATAGGTGGGTACAGAAATACATTTTACCCAACAGAAGAATAGGAGATAAATGGGTTAAGGGAAAGATGGGGAATAAAAAGGCAGCAGTAGTCAGAAGCAAACAGGCTCTTAAAGAGGGAACCGGGGGAAAAATAGAGAAGCAAAATCATGAGAGAATAGGATGGGGGAAATACTTAGCAATCATAACTGCAAATGTGAATGGAATGAACTCGCCCATAAAATGGAAGAAGATAGCAGAATGGATTAGGAACCAGAATTCAACAATATATTGCTTGTAAGAAACACAATTGAAACAGAACGATACACATAGAGTTAAAATAAAGAGGTGGCACAGAATCTGTTATGCTTCAGACAAAGTGAAAGCAGCAAAATTGAACCTAATTAAAAGGGATAAACAGAGAAAGTTTATTTTGCTAAAAGGCACCACAGTGAATTAATATCAATATCAAACATATGTACCAAATAGCATAATATCTAACTGTTTTTAAAATTTTGAGTTCTATATTCTTTACCTCCCCCTCTCCTTGAGAAAGCAAGCAATTTGATATCAATTATACATGTATGGTCATGCAGAACACTTTCATATCTACATTGCAAAAGAAAATGCAAACAAAAAAATGAAACAAATAAGTATGCTTCAGTCTACATTCAGACTCTCATCAGTTCTTTCATTCGAGGTAGATAGCATTGTTCATCATAAGTCCTTCAGAATTTTCTTGGATCATTGTATTGCTAAGGATAGCTAAGTCATTCACAGTTAATCATCATTACAATATTACTGTTATTTTGTACAGTATTCACCTAGTTCTGCTCATTTCCTTTTGTATCAGTTCATGTAAGTCTTGCCAGGTTTTTCTGAAAGCATCCTGCTCGTCATTACTTACAGCACAATAGTATTCCATTACAATCATATGCCACAACTTGTTCAGCCATTCTCCACTTGACAGGAATCCTCTCAATTTCAAATTCTTTGACTTAATATCTAAATTCTTAAAAGAAAAGTTAAGTGAGTTATAGGAGGAAATAGAGAATAAAAGCATAATAGTGGGGAACCTCAATTTACCCCTCTCAGACCTAAATAAATCTAACCATAAGATAAATAGGAAAGAAGTTAAGGGGGCAGCTAGGTGGCACAGTGGATAGAGCACCAGGCCTCGATTCAGGAGGACCTGAGTTTAAATCTGGCCTCAGACACATAACACGTACTAGCTGTGTGACCCTGGGCAAGTCACTTAACCCCATTGTCTAGCCAAAAAAAAAAAAAGAAGTTAAGGAGATAAATAAAATTTTAGAAAAGTTAGATATAATAGCACTCTGGAGAATGTTGAAAAGAAACAGAAAGGATTATACTTATTTCTTAGCTGCGCATGGCACCTTGGCAAAATTGACCATTTATTAGGGCATAAAAACCTCATAGACAAATGCAGAAAAGCAGAACTACTATGCCTCTTTTTTTTTTACTATAATGTAATAAAAATTACATTCAATAAAGAACCTTTGAAGCAAAGATTAAAAATTAATTGTGAAGTAAATAACTTAATCCTAAGAATAGATGAGTCGAAGAACAAATCAAAGAAATAACTAGTACTTTCATTATATCCCTTTCCCTTCCCTTCCACTTGTAGGTGATAAATTACCCAAACAAGTAGCATAAAGAAAAGAGAATCAAATTGACTCTCCTTTTCTTCCTTGTTTTTAAAGCTTTGTACATGACTTCATGCATTAATACAGATTTCAGTGGCAAATAAAAATAAAGTTAAATTAATAATTCAAATTTAACCAGAGATTAGTGTTTGCTAAGCCACAATATAAAAGACGTGTTAGTTTTTTGCAAACCCCAGCTGCACATGCAGAAATTCCTAGTCATTTAATCATGTCCAACCCTTTGTGACCACATTGTCTATGGTATTTTTCTTGTCAAAGATATTAGAATGCTTTGCCATTTCCTTTGCCAGTGGATTAAGGCAATCAGAGGCTAAGTGACTTGCCCAATGTCACACAGCTAGTAAATGTCTGAGGCTGGATTTTCATTCAGGTGTTCTTGACTACAAACCCAGCACTCTATCCACTGTGCCACCTAGTTGCCTCCTCGACAAATGGAGGATAAGTGACTTGTCTGAGATTACACAGCTGGTAAGTGTCTTGAGGCTAGATTTGAACTTAGGTCTTCCTGACTTGAGACCCAGTCCT